GCTTTTAATAACATCAAAGTTGGCTTGTACAGCAATATATATGCTGTATAGATACCAGGGGTGGACTGACCATTCAAGCACTCGGGCACTGCCTCTGGTACCTTTTTCATAGGCTTCTTTGGGTGTGGGCAAGGACACAGGGGCCCCATGATCCCCTATTGCCCGGGGGCCCCATGAGTTGTCAGTCCGCCCCTGATAGATACAAAAAAGGGTATAGAGGCACCTATGGGTGATGCAGCAGAGATAAATCAAATTGACAATAAAATGCTGTTGTTTTGACATATCTTCACTGACCTGTGAGTGCCTTTGGACTTTTATGGATATTTCTTTGTGTGGGAGCAGCCAAGCATTTGCCTCACATTAGATTTACTAAAATTGAAGCACTCAGATTTTGGTGCAGTTGTGCATGGTAGCCAATCAGCTTCTAACTTCAGCTTGTTTAATTAAGCTTTGTGAATAAAACCTGGAAGCTGATTGGTTTCTATACAGAGCTGCGCCAGTTTTTGCACTTTCCAGTTTTAGTATCAGGACAAAACAACTGGGTGCTCTGATGACCTAAACGATGAGAAAAGGTGAAAGAAAAAAAAGGGTTTCAGCAGGTTACCTTGAGAAAGGTGGGCTGTGACCCATCAAAATGTAATAGACATATTTTTTGCTTCAATTTTCTTGTTGTTTAAGTCATGTCAGTGCCTGAACAAGTTGATTTTATATATACATATTAATTTGCATTGCAAGTGATCACCAGGTGCTGTATCCTGTATATTGTTTACATCACCCTTATCTACATTTTGTTACATTTTAGTAGTACGTTTGGCTGCCAGACACACTTTGTTGGTGGTGTTGCACCTTCCAATTATACAAAGCTTATAAAACCAGGGGAATGCGTATTCTCCAATCTCTACAGTAGTTACTGCAAAGAGATTGCATCCTTTCCTACATGAGTCATATGCTTGTTTAAAATTTATGATCGCTAACTCCTTTTAGTAGCTAGTAAAAAAGGAAATATATGAACTTGTCTCAAAGTTGAATGTGTGATGCACTGACTAGTGAGCTAAGGGGAAAACATCTGTAAAATGCCAACCACGATAAATCAAGGATTTAGGACTAGTGTTTGGCAGACCTGGGGCCATAGGGACTATACCACTGGAGGACATTAAACAATGTTCATGTGGATTGGCTCCAAGAGATTTATTAATATAGGATTTTCACTTTAAACTAAACATGAACCCATCTTGAGATTCTTCCAAATAGCAATCCGTACATAATAGCCACAAGTCATGATTAGCAAGTAGTAAATTGGTTTAAAATCATGCTGAATTGAATAAATGTTAATTATTTTATTCCCATGAAAATATGTACAAAAATTTGCCCAATATGCAAAGAGTCATAAAATTCCTGAATCATTCCTGGATTCATAAATTGTGCAATTGTCTTCAGTTGTGTGTAAATAATCAGATCAATTTAAAGCCGATGAATCTGATTCCAGCCATCTCATGTTTACCACATTACCTACAGTGCCACACCAGGTGCAAACTGGTACTGCACACTGACCAACAACCATTTCTCCATTTATTTTAATAGGTCTGGAGTTGCAATTTGACCATGGTGGTAAAAGATAAGCAGGTCATTGTCATTTGATAGTCTTGGAATAGCTCTAAAGAGTCCCCATAACCAATCCTCATAACAGCTGGTTGACATAGGGTCATAACTGGGCATCTCTTTGCCACTTAGCAGAATTGTTTCCAAAAAAGATTCTACTACTATCTTTATGAAAACAGAAAAGCTCCCCAAGCTGCTGTATGTGTAACTAGCTAAATATTAGGTCCATAGCTGCAAGAACTAATAATAATATTACTAAATATAAGGTATTAACGATAATAAATGTTTTTTTTTTTTTAAAACAAAAATGGTAGCCTTATTTACTCCTGGCATACAATACATATCCTTAGACCCATTCATTCATTTTAGTGTTGATTGTTTTTTGCTGCTATGCTATATTTTTTTGACTAAAGATTATTTGACCAGGTCAGTTTTTTTTCATACTGTATGAAAAGATGCACTTATCAGTCTTGACAGTCTTCAATGGCCTGCTCATGTTTGTAAGTCCAATGCAGGGGTGGACTGACAACTCATAGGGCCCCCGGGCAGTAGAGGATCATGGGGCCCCTGTGTCCTTGCCCAAACTCAAAAAAGCGTATGTAAAAAGGTGTCAGGGGCATCTCATGGGGCCCCCTACTGACCCCGGGCCCTCGGGCAGTGCCCGAGTTTCCAAATTGTCAGTCCGCCCCTGGTCCAATGACAATAGCCAGCTTTAGGATCCATGCACATTAGCGTTTTTTTAAGCTCCTAGAAGCTATTATGAGCTTTTTTTCTATGCTCCAGGACATTAATAGTGTCATCCTATGTGTCCATGCACATTAGTTTATGCTAGAAATGTTTTTTAAACTTCAGCATTTAGGAGCAGAAAAAAAATAATTTTTCTAGAGTTTTTGGGAGCGTTTTTTTTTTTTCCGGCAAAAAAAAACACAGAACGCTCCTAAATGCTCTTAAATTCTACTAACAGCTTTTTTTAGTGCTTTTTTTCCTTCATGTACTGTAAAAACACTAATAAAATGCTAACGCTCCTAAAAGCTACTATAATGCTCCTAAATTGTAAGCTCTAACGAGCAGGGCCCTCTTGTTTCCTCTTGTACCAAATTGTATTGTAAGTGTAATGTCTACCTTCATTTTGTAAAGCGCTGCGCAAACTGTTAGTGCTATATAAATCCTGTATAATAGTAATAATAATACTACAAGCCGGCACAAAAATGCTTTTATCAGCGTTTTTCATCCAGCATTTTTTAAACTTATAAAAAAAAATGCTAGTGTGCATGGAGCCTTACATTTAAATTTAATCTATTTACTCTTTACTAAATAGAATTATCTTTCCCCAACCATTCAATTCACTGAGCCAGCGTTTTCTTCATCTAAAGAAGGTTTCCTTCGTTTTTTCATTCCCTATATCTGGCTTTTCACAGCAAAAACAGCCTAATGCACCTTAAGTAGAATTTACTATATTCAAGGCTTTTAAAGATGGGCTTTGTTTCAGAATACTAATACTCAGCATCAGGGGCGGACTGATAACTCATGGGGCCCCCGGGCAATAGCGGATCATGGGGCCCCTGTGTCCTTGCCCAAACTCAAAAAAGCCTATGAAAAAGGTACCAGGGGCATCTCATGGGGCCCCCTACTGACCCCGGGTCCTCGGGCAGTGCCCGAATTTCCAAATGGTCAGTCTGCCCCTGCTCAGCATTTGCTCCAGATGCAGTGCATGCATTTTAGTACTTTTTCACCTTCCATCCTCAACACAGGTGAAGCTCTGGAGCTGCATTTGATCTTCTTTTGGCTCCAATGTAGGCACTTTTGAAGCAGTAGCAATGAATAGCAATGGATTAGGCTATATCAAAAGAAATAGGCGCACAGTAAAAAAAGAGCAACAATATGATCATTTGCACTGCTCAATTAAAGTAAATAAAATCTATAGACATGCATTAAGGTATACTGTAAATATAAGTCAAATGAAGAAAAAATATGTCCATCTACTAAGTCAGAAGTGTATATCTCTGCAGTTTGTTCTGCAGCATCCGGCACTGACTGCACTGCAGCCCATTTACCTCTAGTGGAAGTCTCTAATTTGCTCATAGAGGGAGCTGCAAGACAATGGGACACAAAAGCACCCATCATGGGACACTAAACTGAGAAAGTGAAGGGAGGCCAGTTACACATATTTACAGACTCCTTAGCCCTTTCTCTGCAAATCTTTTAATGGACTCCCCTTTTTTTTTTTAAAAAAAAAGCATAAAAAGAAAGACCACCTAGATAGCATGGATACAATAATGACAATTGTTTTTGCATATCTCATAAATGTTAAGCTAGTTAGATTGCATGGGGTGCTTATCATTTATGTACAGCCATTTTCAATAATATTCATGGACTGTTTATGGGCATTTTTTTTATTACTTTTATTCTTTTCTAATATATTTAAGTAGGAAAATACCTAATTAGCAGGGGGAAAACAATTTACCATGACAACAATCAATACATTCATCATAATTATTTCTATAATACCTCTCCTCCCCGATCATGTTGCCTGCATTGTAGGAAAGGCCTAGTTAATATCCCTATAAATTGCACAACGTAATTAAATTGTTTGGCACTAGAGATAACCCAGAGTGAATGGCTTTCATTTTATTAAGATTTATATAGGATATTGTGAAAATGTTTCATCATGTACATAGGAAACACATATGATACATAATACCGTCCTGTGCAACAGAATACAAATATATTCAAAGATTCTTATGCCTATAAAACAAGTGTTTTACTCTATAATAGAATGCTTCTTATGTACAGCATATGTATTTTCATCAATGCAACAATCCTGATAAAATAAATAATATATACCAGAATAAGATGTACCTATAATAGTACAGAACCTGCTCTAATCCCAGGCTGTAGAAAAATAAATTTTTAAATATAATTTAACTCAATACATGCTGTGCGAACCTGCTAAAAAAAAATGATATCGCATGCCCCACGACTGGTTCTATCAGCATCTTAAATTTAAGTGTTCAAGGATCAACCAAAATGTTGACATAGAATGTAACAATTTAAATATTAAAAACAATGCATAGAGTTACAATGCATTCTTTACTTCCTCCTTGTTTATGATTGAATTCATTGATTACTTCATCCCAACTAAAGGTGTGCATTGGACTGCGCTGCAGTTCTGCCTGGAGTCAAATGGGTTAAGTGCCAGGTCAACCAAAAAAAAAAAAGGAGCACTGTGTCACTTTTGCGTAGAGGAAGTCATTCTAGGATCATAGGGATATCTTTGAAATAACTCAGTATTTCCTGAGCATTTGCTATACATACAGCATGAGTCATAGCTACTTTTAAATACTTTAAGATGTTAAGAATCTGCATAAATTAAGGACAGGAAACCCTTAGATTTCATGGTTTCAAGCTTTCAGATATTCATTTTTCAGCCTGCTTAGCCTAGCACCATGGCTTCGAATAGTTAAAGACAGGAGTTCATGTTTATCCCTAAGTCCCAGAGAGACATCCATGGTTTCCTTAAGCACGGCTCTGGTGTGGATCATCATATCCACAAAGTCATCGTTTAACCCCTTCATCTCGTTCTTCTCGTTTTCCTGGCTCTGCTTAAACTTTAATTCCAGTTCCGTCAAAGACTTATCCGAGTTGGAGAAGGCTTCACTAATCTGGGAGGACTCCCTGCCCAGGTACTTTCCATAGCTTTCCTCTCCATCCAGGTCATAGGATATGCTTTTACTGATACTTTCAAGTACTCTCTCAGCGTCTTCTATCTGTCTTTTGATCACGATGAATTCTTCCTTTAAAGAAAGGGATTGCCCCTCTCCTAAAGCACATGATCTTTCATCAGTCACTCTAAAGAGCATCTGACACTTCTCGGGGTCATCGTTTTCTTCGTAGTCCCCATCGGGGACAAAATAATGGTGTAGAGTTCCATTGGACATCTCAGGGTGCAGGGGGCCATTGTAGAAACCATAACACAGGTTACAGAAAATTCCAAACCACAGAAGCTGCAATCTTGTCATTGTGCAAAGTATTCTCTTGCTACAGTGCCAGCAGTAGACAGTCAAGTAATAGAATTTTTAATTCCTAAGCCAAGCACGGATATCCTCCTTGGCAGCAAGATGCACCCTTGACATTCCACAAGTTGCTATTTTGGAATTAAATATAGTGTAGTCCCAGGTATGGAGAATGCAAAGTTGCGTTAGTCAAGTCCTGTTCAGTTTGCAGACAAAAAATTGTCTGTATTCAATCGGTGAAGGACACTGAGAAAACAGGGAAGAGCTCATATGTAAAGACAGCAGACTCCAATCCCTTCTTTGGGTGCAGCAGAAGCAGCACAGCGTGTCTGTGCACTGAGAGATTGCTCTCTCCTGCAGCATGCTACTATACTATTTCAACATCTGGGCTGCTGTTGCAAAGTTTTTTTTTTCTTTTTTTGGCTAATGATATGCTGTAGAAGAGGTATCTGTTCTCAAATTACACCAAGATTTCGTCACCCTAGGAGCTAAGGAGCAGAAGAATCCTTTCAGTCAGGCTTAGCTATTAAAGCTGCATTAAGTATTTGTTCCTTTCCACTGCAAAAAAAAAAAGAAAGGGAAATAAACCAATGAAATCAACCAATGGAATTGGACCCATTTGACGAATTACGTCTGCAGCAAAAAAAAAGTTATTAAGGAAAGCACGTGTGGGGACTATAAATAAACACACGCCATTGCTGATGCCTAACTAAGATGGAATTTCAAAGCCCTTTTCCAGTCATGTGCTGGTACAAGCAAAATACATGTATTTATACTGCAAGTGAATATCATCTAGGCATTTATTCGCTCAGATCCTGAAATTCAAGTGAAGAACCTTCGAGCGGTGGCATTTGTTGCTGAAACAAAACTTTTCCTTGGCACGCTATTAGCTGACACATGAGGAACATGTCTAAAAAAGGAGTAGGGGATAAACACAATGTAATAACAAGAGTAGGAACTCCTACACCTTGCAGTGTGACAAACCCCATGTAGTTATTGCACTGATGTTGCATAGTTGCCAACGTTTTGAAACAATTTCCAGGGACACTTTTTTGCTTTGCATCTACAAAGCCACTATAAACAGAGAATTTAATTAGATGCGGGCAGGGGCATCCCTAGGGTTGGTGTCACCCAGTGCGATAACACTTGGTGACACCACTGATGATCCCTGCAGAATGGATCGGATCTGCAGATTGAGCATAATTTATTTATTTATTTTAGGTACTTATATAGTGCCATCAATTTATGCAGCACTTTACATATATATTATACTTTCACATCAGTCCCTAACCCTCAAGGGGTGTGCAATCTAAGGTCCCTAACTTACATTCATATACTAGGGCCAATTTAGACAGGATCCAATTAATTATCCAATGTCTTTGGAGTGTGGGAGGGAACTGGAGTACCCAGAGGAAACCCACACAGACACAGGGAGAACATGCAAACTCCAGGCAGGTGGTGCTGTGGCTGGGATTTGAACCAACAACCCTGGTACTGCCAGGCGGAAATGCAAACCATTTAGCCACTGTGCTGCCCAGCATAATGGATCAGACTCCGTTCCATTATGCTTAATCTGCAGATCCGATCCATCCTGCGGGGATCGTCCGCTTGCTTTACAAATTACCTTTTCGTGGAGCGGGTCTGGTTTCACCCCGTATAGATGGCATGCTGACGATCCCCGCAGGATGGATTGGATCTGCGGATTGAGCATAATGGATCGGAGTCCCATCCATTATGTTCCCCAATCCACAGATCCAATCCATCCTGCGGAGATTGTCAGCATGCAACCTATACAGGACTCCGATCCATTGTGCTCAGTCCGAAGATCCGATCCATCCTGCGGGGCCATCGGTTTGCTTTACAACTTACCTTTTCGTGGAGCGGGTCCAGTGTCACCCCATGCGGTAGGTGTCACCCAGTGCGGCGCGCACTCCCTGCACCTGCCTAGGGACACCCCGGGATGCGGGGCATTTATTTCAAATAGCATATTGTTACGTTATTGTAACATTTTAAAATACTGTATATCCAAGAAGATTTATCATAAGGACAAAAACACAGCCAAAAGGGAGTGTTCATTATAACAATTATGTAAGCTGTAAACTGTATCTTTAAGTTGTACCATCCTTTTAAAGTGCAGCAGCCTAGCAGCTCTTGCAAAGAATACAATGATGAATACAAAGTACACTGCAAACACATTTGGCAAAAAAATATTCAAAAACACAATTTGACATTGGCCATTCTGTTTAGAACTGTAGGGGTACAAAGTGGGAAGAGAGGAGGAACTGTAGGGGTACTAAGTGGAAAGAGAGGGTGAAACTGGTGTTCAGTGGGGAGGGGGCAAAGAGAGCATGGATGCTCAGTGGAGGGAATAAAGGGGGCATCAGTGCTCAGTGGGGGGATAGGAGGGCACTGGTGCTCAGTGGGAACAAAAAGGAGAACTGATGCTCAGTGGGGGCAGAGGGGGGCACTGGTGCTCAGTGGGGGCAGATGGAGGCACTAGTGTTCTGTGAGGGGAGAGGAGGCCCTGGTGCTGATTAAGGGCAGAAGAGGGCACTGACTTTCTATGGAAGGAGGAGTGGGGTTACTGGTGCTCTGTGGGGTGAATGAGGGGCATTGGTATGGATGCTCAGTGGAGGGAATAAGGGGGGAATCGGTGCTCAGTGGGAGGATAGGAGGGCACTGGTGCTCAGTGGGAACAAAAAGGAGAACTGATGCTCAGTGGGGGGTACGAAGAGAGCACTGGTGATCAGTAGGGGAGCAAGAGGGGGCACTGGTGCTCAGTGGGGACAAAAAAGGAGCCCTTGTGCTCAATAGGGGGGGGGGGGTGGCAGGAGGTCATTGGTGCTCAGTGGGGGGACAAAGGAGTGTTCTGGTGCACAGTGGGGGAGGGAGCAATGGTGTTCAATAACTGGCTGTTTGATACTGTCTGGATTCCTGTAGATTAATCATCCCCTCTCTCACTGTTCTTGTCTACTGCTCTTTCCTCCATATTAAACACAACTGCCTGCTAAATCAATCTATTTCTGAAGGTTCCCACATCTGGCATGTAGACTTTCTTTTCTCCATGAACAGGGGTGCGCATACCCATGCATTAAAGCAAATAAAAACAAACTAATTACCTAATCAATAGTTAGGATTTTTATGAAAAAAATTGGAGATTTTTGTATTAAGATTTCTCTCTAAAGAGAGAGATCAAGCCTCTTGTTCTTCAATAAGCATAACGTAAGAGGGAGATTACCCCCTCTAATATGTCATCAAAATCATATTGATGACTACCTGAAAAAACAGATATCAGGGATCAAAAGATTGCAGAAACATGACAAATATAATAAGGGACTACTCCAACGTGTCTATATTTTCATCATGGTGTAATATATATCCATGAAAGATATAGGATTATCATCCCCTTAAATTACTTATTATATGCAGACTGCAATCAAAAATAGCAAAGTTGGATGTGATTGCTTACTCATTGACATTTGTTACCTTCCACTATTTGACAGAGCAGTCTAATCATCATTTCTTTAAGCACTACATGCATATACATCTGTGTCCACTCTTGGAAGAGGCTAATTACCCAATTGGTGCCTATCTAGAGACTGTTACTAACAATCTATCTCTAAAAGGGAGGAGAGGATTGGCTTTCTAGCTCTGAATACTGTGACTACAGATCCACCCGTGCCCATAACTCCTATAGCCTCATTCCAAATAGGACCATGCATTGATTAACATCATAATGCAATCCCTTGATCCCTATTGGTATGAAAGAGGTAGGTAAATTTGCTTGATCTCATTCCTCTAAACCAGTGGTCTCCAAACTGTGGCCCAGGGGATGGATATGGCCCTTTGCTTAGTTTTATTTGGCCCTTGGGGCACTGTTCCATCCACTGACTCCAACATTGGGACATCATTCCTACCACTGACACCAACAATGGGGCACAAACTCTCCCATTTACACGAATGATGGTATACAATTCCACCAAAAATCACCAACAATTCCTCCCAATGACATCAACGATGTGGCACTATTTCTCTTTCTGACACCTACAATTCCTTCCAAAAACACAAACAATAGGACACACTTGCTTCCACTAACACCAGCAGTTGGGCACTATTCATTCCACTGACACTTACAGTAGAGCACAATTCCTCTCACTGACACCAGTGCTGGAATACAATTCCTTCTAATGACACCAGCCATGGGGCACCATTCCTCCAATTATCACCAATGGTGGGGCACTGTTTCTCCCACTGACACAAATGACAAGCCACCATTCTTCCCACTGACATCAACAGTGGGCCACATTTCCTCCTACTGACACCAATGATGAGGAACTATTCCTTCCACTGACACCAATGATAAGGAACGTTTCCTCCCCTAATTCCAAAGATCAGGCGTTGTTTACTCCCAGTGAAGCCAGGACATTTTCTCCAGATTCCAAGATGGCTGCTGCATCCAATGACGCAATTATGTCATCACGACGGGTCCGTACGTCATGACGTCACCGCGCACCGATACTGCACAGGCGTCGTAGCTGTTAGCAGTGCAATCTTGTGGAAAGAAAAGAAACCACAAGACACAGTATGAAGCGCTCTTATAACATCAATACCACATGACCACAGATACATTCTTTCTTAAAAAAGGGTGAAAAAAAGAGGCATATGCTAAAAATTCCACATAAATCTAAGGTTGGGCACTCTATTCATCAACACATTTCTACACTTTAGTCAGGGTTACCTATCAGACCCTAGAAAGTTTCATATTATGTGCAAACATGGCTCTTTTATATTATAAATAAGGAAGAGTAATGTGACTATATATCCAACATAGATCTAAGATTCAACATTATTCCTCCTCCTTTGACAATGTACCCCAAACTAGGTTATCTATTATATGTGCTTAATTTAACCATCTCAATGATCGGGTCCACATACAAAGAAAACGCCTGTCTTCAATTTCAGAAACTTATCAATTTCACTATACGTGATACCAAGTCTCTTTTCTC